ATTCAAAGCGCGAACCGCCAGCACGGAGGATTTGTAAATCTTCTGGAAAACAGAGGCGGCAAAGTGTTCTGTTTTCCCTGGCAGCGAGGCTCCGGTTGAAGAGAGAGCTGCCCTGCGGCTTGGGTGTAAATTATTCGCCACAGATGCTTCCACAGGGGGAGGATCTGCCATCCCTAAATCCTTCATTCCCTGTACGTCCAGTCTCAAGAAGCCCTTGACGGGAACCCGATGCGATAAAGGCTTATCCCAAAACCTTTTCATTTTGGCAACGCATGCCGGGACGGCCGGTATAAATTGTCTCGCTGGTGGGAGACGTGACGGGAGCCTTTTCCCGTCGTAGAGGTCTCTATCAGCCCCTTTCATTGCCGGTTGGGATGGCAAATCGATGGACAGCTTATCCGCGGTCCAACGACAGACCTCCAGCAGATCTGTGTCCACCTGCACAGGGGACGGTGAGCTCACATCCTGCGCGCTTGGCGGACGGGACTGATTCGGAGGGAGAATGGCATCCTCATCGTCATCCTCGTCTTCGAGGATGGTCGACAGTACCTCGTCATCATCGTCTTCCTCTCCCGCTAAAGGATCTTCAAACAGCAGGAGAAGAACTGGTGACACTATCCATCATATCTCCCCACGAGCTTGAGGTTTGTGGACACTCCATGGGTTCCTCTCTGGGTTGAGCAGAGAGGCATGGTCCGACTTTCCTGTGGCTGCCACTCGAAGTCTCCTTTCTCGGGTTTTAGTCGAGAAAGTCGCGCAGTGAGGGCAGCCCTCGGGGTTGGATAGTGCTGCCTGAGCATGTTTAGCGCCCAGGCAGGAGATGCAGAGACTGTGAGAATCCTTGTCCGAAATCCACGCTCCACAAGCGCAAGGATGAGGAGGAATCCGTGGCTTTCTGGCTCCATTGAGGTGGCCATGACAGCGACTGCATTCTCTTCGTACGGTAAGTCCACCACAATGTGAAAACTTGTACGGAGCTGTGCTGATAGTAGTGAGCTCTCTCTCATTTTTTTTTGGAGAACTTGAAAAACTCACCTTAACATGTTAGTTACCCAACTTCAAGTGCGGTCACTCAACGAAACTTTAAGGAAAAAATTGCGTTCGGGACGTTACCTTGCGGCTTCATCTGTAAACTGTTGAACAATAATTCCCAAAGTCTGCTGAGGACAGCTTCCGAAAATCTTCCACGGAGAAGAGAGCGAGAATGACGAGACAGCAGGTAGCTGTGGTTTATATACAGGGAGGCGGGACTCCCTGATCGCTGCAGCGATTGGTCTGCCGTGGTTGGCAGACGTGGTGTCATTGGTGCTTCCGCAATCGGTCACGCCTGGGGCATTCCCATAGTGAGATACCGAACGAATGTTAGAAAGAGAACCTTATTTCAGGCATTTAAAATCAGGACGATGGGACCGGAAGTGTTAAAAAAAAAAAAAATTCCTGTGTCGTGCCAAAAATGAATTGTCTGCCGAAAACTGATTGCCATCTGTAATCACTTTTTGGCAAGTGTAAAACTGCATTTTATGGGTTTTATTGGCCATTCAAAGGTATTTCAACAGGTAAAAAGGACTGCATGAGCTAAATGGCTTGATTGCATTCATGAGGGTTATATTTGACAGATTATAGCTCATGCAGTCCTTTTTACCTATTGAAGTAAATGGCCAACAAAACCCATAAAATGCAGTTTTACACCTGCCAAAAAGTGATTCAAGACGGCAATCAGTTTTCGACAGACAATCAATTTTCAGCACGACACCTGGAACACAAAACTTTTACAAATACAGCAAAAGCACTGAAATATCAACACAATAGGAATATTTATTGGTCATTTCAACAGTAATTGATACACTTTTGTCATACACACGCCACACATACAGAACAACCAGCTCTAGAGTGATTCCTTCAAATAAAATATTAGAAATCACTGCGGATATCACAAGTTAGGTCCAACTATTTTTTTCCACACAAACCAAAAGTTAGATTAGCACTTTTTAAAAATAAAATATTTAGAATAAAATCACAACATTTTAAATAAAATCACCATATTTTGGGGACAGTAGCTTACAGCCTCAGATCAATTAAGACAAATTAAAATGAACATTTTAATGTTCTGAGGGGACTTTTGAAATTGTACAGTTTCTCTACAAGGCAAAAGCAAATCTGACGTGGCATTGATAAACTTAAGAAAATAAATAATTTAAATGCAAACAAAGAGGTTTACTGTCTAACAAGAAAGTACCATGTTTTTTTTGGACATAGCATGGTAAAATAGTATCTTTTAACATACAGAAATCATTACCATCTGATATCCAACTGAACTATAGTACAAGTACTTTTTGTACTGTTTTCACTCCCTTTTGAGCTTGTATTTAAAAAGCTGTTTTATGCATGCTGTACACCTGAAATGACAGCTATTGTAAAACTACTGAATTGCAGTAGAGTGATTGCAGATATATAGCCCTATGCATGCGCTAAATTAATTAGATTTACACACAAACACAAAGGAAAACCACAGAGATGACTTGCAACAAGATACACGTTTACTTTTCTCCATACTAATATATACACCAACACACACACACACTCACACACTGATGTAACTCCACAGTATTTTGTCTTAATGTCAGCACAAAGATAGTTTAACACAGAAGGTGAGGCAGAGCGATCATCCATACGTGGGTTATGATAGTGTGCAAAATCAGTATGGCACATTGAGACGCTCTCCACACACACACACACACACACACACACACACACAGTCATTCAACTATATACAAGAGATAGGGTTTCGAAATATTGCACTTGCTGGCCCATTGCACCCCACATACTGAGGGACGCATAAATGAACAAATAAGATTATACAGATACAGGTATCTAAATAGAGATGCCATACAATTTCATGCAGGGATAATGCTAAACATGGCTTTTGGTGGGGAAACGAGGTGGGTTTCTTACTGATTTTCTTTATTCTGAGGACACATCAATGAACTATTAGCTATATACGTACCGGTATGTTTTTAATAATGCCGGATATTGTCGGCCTAATGTTATATAAACTTTTTTTTATGTACTACGCTCACAAAACCACACATCTACAGACCACACCATGTAGTTTAAGGGCTGTGTTTTCATTTTTTAACTTAATTCTACTTAGATTATTATACATCACATTGAAAGTTGGACAATCTCTAGGGACGAGAAACAAATAAAACCATCTTGAACTAGAAGATGAATCTCATGAAACCGGTCAGCAACATGTCCAGGTTATATTTCAGACCAAAATAATCAGTATTTAAATTATATATATATATGAATATATGAAAAACTGCTTTTTCTTTCTATGTTTCATTTTGAGGTGAAATATAATCTGAATATTGTCATATTTCAAGAAGTTTGCCCTAGAACTGCTCTTCCTTAGAAATGTTATATTTCTGACTCAAAAATGAAAAAACTTCCATCCATGGCCAAAGTCATTTAAGGTTTGTCGGATGAAATATTGATGAGTGACTCGCTTCTGAAAATAGCTGCACGACACATTTCCTTAGCTATTGCTGCATCATTTTACAAGACAAGCTCCAGCGAGCTTCGACCCGACTCAGGCAACAGTGAAGCGGTTTCCTTATAACATCTAAAGTCACTGAATCCTCTTCGGCCATGAGCATAAAACAAGATAAAAGCAGGGACAGCAAATCACATCCTCCACAAAGTAGCTTTTTAGCCAGCAGAGAAAAACCACCGACGACAGCGATAAACAGAAAAGAGAAATGGAGAATAAAGGGCTTGGGGAAAAATACAAAATCCACTTCACCTAGAAGAACGTTTTGTTATCAGACACACGCAGCTCATGAAGCACATTTACTTTTCTTTTTCTCACTGTAAAGTCTGTTTGCTTTGAATAAATAGATAAATATTTCACTTCATCAGCGTGAATTCATTTACAATGATCAAACTAAATGTGTAGAAACATTAAATGCACATTTTTCCTCCCTGTATTGAACAGCTACTTAAATCCACAATATTATATTCATCTGACTGAGGTATATACAAACCTATATACACTAGATAGATCATGTATTCATATAGATGCCGTAATCTTTAATAATCTACGGTACACATATACACACACTAGAGTTATGCAGCTGATATCACTGATGGGAAATTTCATTTAGATTAATATGGCATGAATTCCTGATCTACAAAACTGGCTGAAAAGAGTGTTTGTGTGTATTAATGCAATTTTGTAGGACTGCCATTAAGATCCTTTCCCTTGAGCACCTGACCCTTCACTAAGCCCCACCCTAAAACAAAATCTGGCCAATCCTACATTAGTAACTGTTGCCAGACAGGATGTCCTGTGTGATTATGTAATTATATTTACAGTTTTGAAAATTTAAAATGTGTCAATTTAGAATCATCCAAAAGTATTTGAAAAAAATAAATAAATAAATAAAAATCAGTTTGCAAAAATATCCAGTTTACGCTCATTCGTAACTACGTTTTTATTTGATTTTTTATTTATTTGCAACTATGGAAGTGGAGTTTAGAAAAAGGTCAGTTTGATCGAGCTCTTAATCATAAAGAAACTAATCTGCAACTATGTTTTTATTTGTAACTTTGTAATTACGTTTATTCGTAACTAAGGGGCGTAGCGAAAGGTCAGTCTGATCGTGCTCAAAGCGTTCCAGTTTATTCTAAACTAATTAGTAACTACTTTTTTTATATGTAACTTTGTGATTACGTTTACTCGTAACTGCGAAATTACATTTATTTGTAATTAAGGGGGTGGAGCTTAGCGAAAGATCAGTTGCTATCGTGCTCAAATTCATAAATTTAACGAAAATCTCTAGTTTATTCTAAACTAATTCTTAACTATGTTTTTAGTCGTAACGACATTTGTTAAGCTCCAACTTTGGTGGAGAATTAAAGTTAGTTAGATCCAATCCAATAAAATTTCCAGTTTATTTTAAACAAACTCGCAACTTAGTTTTTATTCGAAACTGTAAAGGCCGTTAGGACTTTGATTGACAGTAAAGAAAACAGAGTGTCAGAATGAACTAGGCACCGTATAGACAGATGTGACTCTAGTGCAAAGCTGCTGGAGCAAAACAGGCAAAAGTAGCATTCGTACACAACACATTCTTGCGTCCTGGGTTCGTTTGGTCTGTTTTCACATGCATCAGACAGATGTCTTTTGCTGCTGCATCTTATCATTTTAAAAAGCGCCTCAAGACCCCTGCATTGTGGCTTTATGTTTTGGAATACGAGAACTTGTCCTGTTTGAACGCCTCCTAGTGGTGCAACAGACTCACAGGCCAAATATACCAAAAACTGATGACCAAAGAAATGCAACATATTCATATTTTTCAAGCTATGTTTATCCATACTGCTTTTTAAAACACTGAAAAACTGCTTGCTGTTGCTCAAGACTGCATCTATGTGACAGCTTTGTTTCCATTGGGTGTAAAGGGTCACATGAATCCTGACATGCACTGATCAGATTCAAGTTGTTCCAGCACCTGTATTCTATGACATTAAAGGATATATGCATCTATCTAAAGGTGTTACACACACACACACACTTATGTTACTATGTAAACTGAGCACTAACAGGCACAGTTGGGCTGCTGTAGTGGAGGAGGGTTATCCGTTAACCGGGCCGTTCCCTGGGTGCCTGTGGTCACGGTGGGGTCAGTCTCTAAACTCTCTGACATCTTGTCGCAGATTATATCCACCAGACGCTCAAAGGTCTGCTTCACGTTGATGTTGTCCTTGGCACTCGTTTCAAAAAATTCAAAACCTGGTAGACAGAAACGACACCAAAACACAGTTTAGATGTCAGAAAATCTAGCGAGAAAATTATATTCTACATATATCTCACTTCAAGGCAGTTTTACTGGTATTGATATTGGTGAGGGCAATCCCACATGCATTTCAAAAAATGGGGAAAAAAAACAAAACATCTGCCAATATGGCAGAAAAACAAAACCAATTTTCATTAAGCATTATATCTATTCAATATATGCATATATTTGTTAAACATAAATAGTTAATATAACTAATATAAATTAAATACTAATGTAACAAGCAATAATATAAATATAAATATAGTATAAATAGCAATCCCAGAACATAATTCTGCAAGCTTAGTGAAAACAAATCCATCATGTCAGAAAAACAAGACAAAATGATATTGTGTGTGTGTGTACACACTCAGATCAGTTTGTCTTGATTTATTTTTTCACTAAGCTTACATATATACAGTATGTGTGTGTGATCAATCAACAAATTTCTTATTTATATATTTATTAAAAGTATTAATTTATTAATTTAATAGATAGTAACTATTAAGTAATTTTAAAGTTTATTATTCTACATAAATAGTTATATATATATATAAAACATTTCATAGGGCCCTAAACGTAATATTTGTTAAACTTTTAATAAATTGATGTTAAATTGTTTAAGTTTCATGAATTTAATAAATTTGACATGCTTTTTGATTAATAAAATGTAATTTAACCACTAAAAAGGAGTCCAGAAAAATAAAATAAAATACTGAATAAAATACACGTATTCGTATTGAACCGTTAGGTACGCATTACAAACCAAACGATTCGTTGGACTAATCCTATTACATTTGGAAAATACAATGTAAGCTGTAATGGAGCTTAAAATGTGTGAAATATAATGTTCTCAGTGCCGCTGTGCTCAACAAGGCAGACCAAACGACGTAACAGGCAACGTGCTGTCTGCCCAGTGGCGTAACATTAGCGGATGGGCACGCGATAACCTCCCCTTGCTGGGGTGCGTCGAAAGACGACGATCTTCTATCAACGATAGCCAGAGATATTGTCAAAAACATAAATGTTTGGCAATATTAAGAGGATTTGGCATTTCCAATTAATGTAGGCCTGTTACATTCTTATTTTTATTAGGCCTATTATTATTATGAAGTTACTTTTATTAAATTAAAATTACAATTAATTTACCCCGCAATAATTACTGCATAACTGACGCCCTGCGAGGATAACAAAAGATTAGGCTATTTACTCAGTTAAAATGTTTTTTAAAAAAAAGGTCTTTTAAAACAGGTCTATTATAAAATGAATTATAGGCCTTTAATTCAAATATTAACACTGCAGTCATCAATAAAAATCAATGAAATAAAAAGCTTAGCCTATATTTAAAGCACTGACTTTCAAAAACAACCTGTTTAACATGAAATACGTTTCTTCTCATTTTTTTTCACTATGTACGGGCCACAAGAGAAATATTAAGGGAATAAATGAAAACAGTTAGCTATATACCGTTATCAGCATATGTTGAAGTAGATGTCTCTCGTCGTCTCTGAGAGAATATGTGGCGTCAGATGCAGAATGTTCCGTCATTCCGTTTTTACTTTCACTTTCTGCACAGTGAATTAAGATGTTCACCGGCGTAACTCCTGCGCAAAGTTTGCACGTTGCTTGTGTGATATCCATTGGCTCACCTTCATGGTTTAAAACAGAAATATTTCCAACATTGCCACGTAACCAATTACCGCCGTACTGAACGTACCAAACCAAACCGTGACACCACTGTGTCGTATCGAACCGAACTGTGAATTTTGTGAACTGTTACACCCCTAATATATATACATATACATACATATATACACATTTATATATATATATATATATATATATATATATACACACACACACACACACATATACAGTATATACACACACACACATATATATACATACATATACCGTATATACATACATATATACATATATACTAGGGCTGTCAGTCAATTAAAAATTTTAATCTAATTAATTACATGATGCTTCGATTAATTAATCTAATTAATCGCAATTAGTCGCAAGATAAAATGCATTTAATTTTAATTATTTTATCATATTTATATGTTACATATATTTTTTTTATTTATATTTATATATTATATATATTATTTATATTTATTTTTTATATAAGAAATGTATTTAATAAATAATACATAATTAGAATTAGTAATTAAACGTTTATCATTATTAATAATAATAATTATATTTAAAAACTATAAAGTGTATTTTGTCCTTATTAAAGAATTGCATTGTTAGTTTAGTAACATGTCACCATCAAATGATTCAGTTGTTTGCTGAGTCTCATGCACATTTCACACAAAGTTAGGGTTAGGATATATATACAGTAGTTATGTTGAGCATCTTAATTCAGTGACATTTCATAGCTGCTGCCTTTTACAAATCGTGACAATCCCTAATGAAATGTAATTGATTTGACGGTCTGAAAATGGCAGGGGTATGTCCTCTTTCACACCAAACATGCAGCAAGTGTGTCTATTTTCACCGTTCAACGTTAGTCTGAGCCGTTCGCACATACTGGTGTCATCCAATTATATGAGTTTAATTATCGCCCGAGTTCAAAGCTGCGATTCCCTCCATATGTTCTAATTTATGCACAGTGAAGATATGCTAACATGAGCGGTATATATTCCATCACAGTGCTCATATAGGAACAAAAATTAGGCTTTTTTATGGACGGTGAGATTTATTTAAAGTAATTTTGTGCTGTAATTACATCCAGTGGGTCTTTGCTCAAAAATAGGTCATGTCGGTTCTGATCAGCTTAAGGATAGAAAAAGGAAAATACAAAGATAAATCTGAATATGCAATCAACAATAGAGCACAGCACAATAAACAGACTTTCAACTTTAAAAAAAGGAGAACACACTTCCCATCCTTTGTTGATGATGTCAAAGGTTATGCATCCAATTAAAATCAGTATTTTGATGCAAATTTATCTGTAGCTATCTTGTAGGTTGCATGCCACGCTCTCATCTTCAAAACATGAATAAATCTATTTAAACTAAAAAAATTAAAAAATTAAAAAACATGACAACATGACAGTCTCTATTTAATGTCCAATGCAAAATCTGGGTCTTGAAGCAAAACTAGTTAAAATGAAATCATGCTGCCCACCTGACTGGCTCCACAGGTCCAGAAGTTTCTAATTGGTCTTTGGAGGAATCAAACTCACTTTTTGGGATGAGGTTAGGACGAGTGAACTTACCCAGCTGCTCTGCCAGCAGTCTGCCACTATCTGAAGACACGACTCTCTCCTCTTCCATGTCACACTTATTTCCCGCCAGGACGACCTGCGCGTTGTCCCAGGAGTATGTCTTTATCTGGGTTGACCTAGTTAAAAACAAACAAGGATGTTAGGATTCACTCTTACAATGCAATTATGGCCAACATACAGGTATGCATATGAGTGAGCACCACGGCAAGAACATGCTGCATCGTGCATGGCCTATTTCCACACTTCTTGATGTATTGCCATATATGCACATGGAGGCCCAAACCTGCGGAAATAAATAAATAGATAACAGGAAAAATAATAATGGAAGAAATGGCTTAATAAACAAATGAAATTATTTTTATATTAAATTTAGTCCAAAATTTTTCTACAATTTTTTTTAACTTAATGTATATTTATATTCGTTTTAACTTTCTTTTTTCATTTTAATTAATGAATGACTATTTTTATTTATTCTTATTTATATTTATTATTATTATTACTACTGTTATTGTTATTTTAATAATAATTATTAATTTGAATAAGTTTTGGCCTCCATATATGCAGGGCTCCATCTTTCCGTCTGAAAACACATCACCCAATTATTTTATACATTTTAACGTTATTTTTTATTCTTTCGTTTATTTTTTCATATTTAATTATTTGTATTTATTTATTATTTATAATAATTTATTTTTAATTTCTTTAGGTTTGGGCCCCCATATATGCAGTGCCCCATCTTCCCGTCTGCAAACACATCATCCAATTATTTTTATTCTTAATTTTTTTTTTCATTTATTTTTGTACATTTTCATATTTGTTTATTTTTATATTTATTTATTTAACATTTCTACAGGCTTAGGCCTCCATCCTCTTGTCTGCAAATAAATCACCTATTTTTAAATTCTATTTAGCAGTATGTGGCTCCAATTTTTTTTTTTTTTTTTTTTTTGATTCATTTTAAAATGTATTTTTAAAATTATTTACAATTTCTTTATTTATTTCACTATGATTTATATTTATTTATTTTTATTTTATGCAGGTTTGGGCCTCCACATTTGCAGGGCTCCATCTTCCCGTCTGCAAGCACATCGGCCGTTTAGAACGAATGGTTTATACACATCTCAGTTTTTAAAGGCGTTTTGGTGCCATAGCAACAGCAGACAGCTGGTGCAGATTCAAAGGGGGTTCGTCACTGCAGCCCACGACACATTACAGTGTTTGCTCATGTATGTCGTAGCGATGCTGCAGAGACTGTGGTAAGAGTTGTTTCTGTGTTTCCCCAGCGTTTTCACATACGTCTGGTTTAATTAGGTGTCAGTTCACTGACCGCAGCTGGAGTCTCTTGAGTAAAGCCAGACTCAAGTTTCTGACGATAAGAGAACTTGTCACTAGTGCTTCCACTCTTTAGCTTGCAGAACTACAGGCTACTCATCATTTCAGGGAGTTATAGCTACCTTTTTGCAAAACTAGTTAGCTAAATCAACTGTGCATGGCAAATTACTACAAAAAAGGGGTGTAATATCTTTGTAATTTTAGAACTACATGTACATTTACATTAAATACAATTACATAAATAGATAAATACAAACAACAATAAATACAAATACAAATAAATATTAAATTTATATGACTAAATACAGAGATGAACAGATGTACTTAGCTAAATATTTATCTATAAAATATTTAAATATTTAAAAATAAAAACTTCTGGGAAAACTTATGACTAAAAGGAACCAGTATATTTATATATTTATTTTATTTATTTGTTCACTGAATTTAAGCTACTTAAGAGGCCATTCTGCTCATTATTACGGGTTTTGTCATCATTTACTTTAGCATTTCTTTATTTCTATTTCGTTCTTTATTCTCAGCACTTCAGATCAGCATTCAAATAAATAGTAACTCCCATAATGCATTTCAATAAGGCTTAGTGAAAAAAAGAAATCAAAATAGATGACAGGACAAATGACAAAGACAAATATATTTAGGTATTATTATTATATTGCATTCAATATATTTATTAATGTTATATTTATTCAATGTATAAATATAAATATTTAACATAAATATCACTACAATGAAAAACAATATAAATATCAATATAAATAGAATATAACATTATTTATTACTAACAATATTAGTTTTTTTTATTAATATAGTATATTATCAAATACATTTAATAGATGAAAATATATTTTTAGTCAATAAATATATTTATTTATTTTTATTAATGTTTTAATTATATAAAAAAATAGAAAGTGTATTATATTCTTATTAGAACATTGCATTGTTAGTGTTACAATCAAACCATATTTAGCTGAATGTCAAGCCTCATGAGGATATGCTTTTTGTTAAGTGTTTTTGCAGTCATTTACTCATAACAGACTTTTATGGTGCCAGATCTATAATTTTTTGTCGTCGTCTTTTATTCTATGGAAAAGATCAGCATCAGCATGGTGACAGAATTGAATTTCTGAGTGAACTACTACTTTAGGAAGATAACATCTGCTGATGAAGCAGTATAACTGCAAATTCACCTTCGAAGCTGTCCTTTCAGTAAATTCAGGTCTCATTTCTGCTTAATAACGTCATAAAGCTCAGACGTCAAGTCTTCTCGCGGTTGTAATGACTCAGCAGCTGACCCGGCTATATTGCTTCTGTTCCAGTTCCTCAGCCTCCTATCAGGATGTTCATTAGTCTGTCTTCTCACGCTAATTAAATCAACCTCTGCTCACTGACCACAGCCGAACACCCAGCTGAGCTGATCAATAGGGCGGCATCCATAAAGCCCTGAACTGAGCCCTGCTGCCCTTTAATACTAAGAGAAATTTAAATGACTCTTATTAAATATTAACCAGATGGATTCCAGAAGACTCAATGATGCCACTTTTCCTCGAAGGTCTCTTTAACTGCTCACAGAGGGCCGTTTAGTCCAGCTGAATTCAAAACTGAGCCGATTTACTCTCTTCGTCTTATTGTGAATGAAATATTCAAAGTAAGTCTGTTTGGTAACACTTTACTTAAAGCCTTTGTTATAATGCATGATAAAGTATTGATAATGTACATTGTAATGCATTATATCTTTTTATAAATAATTGCAACCAAAGTTAAAATGCATTATAATATTTGAAGGATTGTTTGTCCTGAGTTTTAACATTCTAAAGGTGCAACAATAAATAGATAAGTATTAAAATGTATTTTAAATGTGGTTATAATTATTAATGAGATCATACAATGCATTATAAGGTACATTATAAGGCATGATTCATGCAATAAAACTATATTTACAATGCATTATATATAAAAGCTTTAAGTTTTACTGTTTGCTTTCATAACATCTCATCAAAATATACCCCAAAACACATACCTATAGTCCTATACTTAAGAAAAAAAAACAAAAACAATATTAATCTAAATAAAAATAAAAATGAATAATTCTTAATTACAAACATAATATTAATTAAATCATGACCTACATTTAAAAAATTAATAATGTCCTACTTTATATTATTTCCCATTTAATTTTCTGTTTCACTCAGAAATACATCACTTTATAAGTTAAAGCGGATGTGAATAACTGAGCAGGGCAAAATATTAAGTATTACAATACAAGACCAACATTTTGTTTTCTTTGGAAAAACATGCAAAAAAATAAATAAAAATAAAATATATATATATATATATATACAGTATATATATATATAGTGGTGATATAAAACAGGCATTGCAAATCATTTTTTATATTACAAAAAATTCTCATTCGGGTTTAAAAGTTTTGTTGGTCACATATCTTTAAAGTTCTGTGTAAAAACCTACTGCTATTATATTTATCCCCAATAATGAGTCACTAAAGCTCGTGGTGACGTGTAATGAGATATTTCTCTGAACATTTTCTCTTTCCTTCAGGCTGTCAGACTCACGGCGTTTGTGTTGGTGGAACAATAACATACATACAGTTCTCTTAAACACTTCAGTTTTGTTCTGCTAACACACACACACACAATCTGTTATGCAGAAATGCTTCAAATACTGCAGAAGCGGCCCTGCGTGATCACTGTATGGCCGTGAGGATTTGTCCAGGGATTTTGGCTGCGACCGCATCTCCTCCTCCCACACGGCTCTGGGTCACTCACCAGTCCTGCACCGCTCCAAACGACTCCTCGTTAGTGATGTCGTACATGAGGATGAAGCCCATGGCTCCACGATAGTACGCCGTGGTGATGGTGCGGTATCTCTCCTGCCCCGCAGTATCCTGGAAAATACACACAAAACAGCTTTCTGAGTTTGGACACTCATTCGAAAGACACTTTTTTTGATGGAAGCCTATTTCCGCCACAGAATAAAATCAGGAAAAAAAAAAAAAGAAGAAGAATTGTGAGATATAAACTCAATTGTGAGATATAAACTCGCAAAAAAAAAGTTGGAATTCTGTGTTTATATTTGCAATTCTGTTTATATTTAATTTTATTTTATAATTTTATGTTTATATTTTATAAAACAAATATTATTTATTTTATAAATGTATATCTTATATAAATTGTATTTTATATATATATATATATATATATAATTATTAATATATTAATAATTAAAATATTA